TGTTTAAATATTAATGTAATAGACTTACAAAATATGTATTTGATAGTATATTTCGCAAGAGAGAAATAATTTACATCTAAGTTATTCACAATAAAGAAAATAGACTTGATCAAATTATTCAACTAATATAGCTAATTCTAATGAAGCAAGTCTTGAAAATACTGTAATGAATATTGAATTTGATAAGATAGAAAATAATAATAATAATTTGGAAGAACAATTTGAAAAAAACATAATGCAAATAATTGAAAACATTGATAATTTTAATACTAATGATCAAATTAAAAAACTTTAGAAAATTAGTTATTTTTAGAAAAGCTTAATAATGTTTAATCATTAAATTAATTATTAACTATATGTACAAAATTTAAATTTGTCACCAAAAATTTACATCAAAATTTATTTATTTTTTTTTTTTTTAAAAAAAAATACATATTAAACTTGTAGTTTTTATTTTGTCATATTAATTTTACTATAATTTATAAGAATATATTTAAATACGTAAAAATATATAAGAATAAATAAATTTTTTGCTATCTTTATATCAGATATATTTTCTAATTAATTGAATAGATTGTATTTAGACAAAGTATAGTCAAAAGTCTGTGATTTTCCCTTATTAACACATATTTATATATTGATATTTACTAATTTAATTGTATATAATAATTTATTTAATTAGTATTAGCTAGTGTGTAAAGTATTAAAATTCAAAATAACTTAAAATATATAATATAAAAGAGATGTATCAAAACCTTGTAATATTTTATAATTTATCATATATTAATCACTACAAGGTTTAGAGAAAAATTTTGTAAAACCATATAGTATTAGATATAATAATTCAAAATAGGGAATGAAATAATATATACATATAAATATATAGTTAATTAAAACTGGTCAATAAAGTAGTAATTATGTCTGTATATCGAAGAGTAATATATTTAATAATTTTTAAAAATTAAGTAGTTATCCTCTTATATGATTTTAATATGAATTAAATTTAATATACTGATAACTGAAGTTTTCTTAATATTTAAAGCAACTTTATAAAGCTAAGATATTTATGTAATATTTAATATTTTATAGAATTAATATTTTAGCAAAATGAGTCTTATATTTTAAATCAAAAATTAACATCTCTGACATTATAATACTAGAGATACAAAATTATAGCTTTTGAAATCTTTTTTGATATAATAAAGCTTCTAAATTGAATATATATTAACCTATTAATGTTATCTATTTTTTTTTTCTCCTAGAAAATACCTTTTGATTATTATAAAATTTGCTAGTATTATAAATCAGCTAAAGATGAAGATTTGCTAGACCTTTCAATGCTTTAATTGTTTTGTTACAGATATATCTAAAAAATAACCTTCAATTAGTATATGTAGATTTTTTTTTTGTAGTGAATAGGGATAGGCAAATTGAACATTTTTTAAATCTACTACATAGCCTGCAGTATTATATAAGTTGACTAGAATTAATGACAACTAGCTAGAATTATGCTGACTAGTCCAAATTGTACTGTGTAATTGCAAAAATTCTGTATAGTATCCTATTTCTAGTAGTAAGATATAAGATTTTTACATAGCTCTATCAATTTTTTGTACTCAGAAATATATTTTTTGTAACCTGCTAATTATTTTTTAAAAATACTAAGTACTCAAATATAGTAGGTAAGAGTAATATTCTTTTTGCTATTATCATATTTCCAGTATAACTAAAGAGTCTTTTGCTTGCAATTGAGATAGCTAGAATAGCCAAGTATTTTCAGACTAATTTACTTAATACAGGAAACTAGCTCTAGTTATTATACTACTAGGTTAGTAGACATTAATTTTATAGAATTTTTTGAGCTCTGTAATAATCTTAAACTTCTAATTATAAACATCTATTATGAAACATTGAGGCTAATAAAAAATTAGAATAGTTTAGCTTATTATTCTCTCTTTCTATTCTGTATAGAACTTGTGATTCTTTATATTTAGTTTTAAGCAATTCAAAGGTATCATTTTTTAGAGATTCTAATATAAAAGAAAGGGGCTTGTACTGAGAATTCAAATTGTTACTAGTATAGCTTTATTACTAGGTACTTCCCAATAATGCACCAAAGTATCATATAATGCTACCTTTATTTTTTCTTCAAGATTTTTACAATTTTGTAGATTATTAATATTAATTTGACACTACTTTTTAATTAATACATAGTTCACTTATACTCTTTTATTATCTTCATCCTTTTAAATAATATTATCTTTGAAAATATCATTGGAAAAATTCAAATCTGTATTTAAAGCTCTACTTGTAAATGAAATAAGTCCTTGCTCAATTACAATAATCACACTGTATATAAAACTAATAGTAGCATATTTACTGCTTCTCAATAGTTCAGTTGCTTCAGCAAAAGGCTTTAAAACTGCAGTTAATATTAATATAGCATCTCATTCTATACTTGTTAGATTAGTTTTTTCTAGATAAATACTATCCTTCTGAATTTGCAAATTACTATCTAGTATTAAATTTGTTATCATCATACTAATGATACTTTGAATTTGTAAAAGTCATTGCTAGAAAAGATAAGACGAGTTCTATCTTAAGAAACATCTGCAATAATTCATAACTGATGGTTGTTATTGCTTAGGTCCTAAAATTTTATTAATAAATTTGTATATTGTGTATTAGATTAAATATTAACTGTTATCATTTAGAGTTTAAAAAATTTTACTATTAATTTATTTTAAATTTGGTTTAGTTCTTTAACATAATAATATATATTTAAATAATTACAAATTATTTAAAAATAAACTTATTTTAATAATAACAAAAATACATTATTTTTAATATCTAATTATAATTTTGCTGTTACCCTAATTCAGATTTTCATCCTAATTCTAATAAAATTCTAATTTCTATATTTATTATATTTTTAAGTCAGTGCAGATTTTTTTGAGCATCAATTAATCTTTCTGTTTGTTTAGATGTAGTAAAAAACAGTATAAGCCTTTTAATACGTGCTATAAGAAGTGCAGTATCTACTAATCCTTTTCTGATAGCACATTGCAGGATATAAGCTATGCAGGGAATTTGAATAATATTTGGTATGAATTTCATAGCTTTAATTATATTGTTTCTATTATCTATCATAATAGTAAAAATCTAATTTGTTAATTTCTAATCATCAATTATAAAATTTAATTCTTCTGCAATTACCTCATCAGTATGTGGATATAGCAAATATTTAATTGTAAAAACTAATTTAACTAATTTAAAATTATTATCAATAAATGAACAGGTCACTCTGAAATATCCTATATAATTTTATTCTGTTTACAAATCATATGTTAAAGAACAAGTTATAATATTATTACTAAGTATTTCTTTAAGATTTTCCTTAGAACTTAAAAAAGCATCTGTAAGTAATTTTTAATATTGCCTTTCACAAAGCAAATAGTAACTAGGATCGAATTCTGCTAAAAATTCTATAAAGCCAGCTTTTTCATGTATATTAGTAGGTAATTAATCCTTAACTAACATACTAATTAACTTTTGATCTCTTTTTGTCTTTCACTTAGAGTCATTTGCAGCTATTCTTTAAAACATCTCATTAATATTTGTTTGTTTAGATTGCTACTGCTGAAGATTTTGTTTGTAAGATTCTTCAGTAATTCTATATCATGATACCAAATAGCCAATAAAATTGCCTATCGAACTATCTATTGATCCTATTAAATAGCTATATAGTTAAAGTTCACTAATTCTATTAATATTAAACAAATAGCTAACTATTCATTTATACATTGTATAGGTTTATATAGTTAATAATAACTCTATATCCAACTTTTACTGAGTACTTTATCAATAGATATAAGTTGAAGATCTTCAAGGTTAGGCTTAGTAGGTTAATTCATGCCAGAACTATTTTTAGATATACTGCTATCTTCATAATCATTACTATGTTTATCAGTTAATTAGTTATTTGATCATTATTATATTAGTTAGCTATATGATCATTATCATTTTTATTAGTTGTATAATCATAGTTATGTCTGTTAGATAAATAATTATAATCATAACTATCATTATTTTTATTACTTAACTCCTCTAATAATAAAGTTGTACTAATTATATTTTCGTTGAAATATTTTTCTTTTTCTTCTTTGCTATAGTTTTAGATATGTTGAGTTTTTTAATTGTCTCATAAATAATTTATTATCGAAATTTTTTTAACCTGGTCTCAGTATTATTTAAAAGGCTAAAGCTAGATGTATTCTCTCATTCTATATATTCCATATTATTCTTATGCAAAATAGAGATAACTTTTGTACAGATTATCATACTAATACATAGTTATGTATAATTAAAAGTCACAGGATACTATAAATGATCAAGTTCTAAATTCAAGTGTAAATATCTTGTTCTAATAATTATCTTCTTATTTTATCCTTTTTACTCGAATCTAAATAAAGTAAGAGAAAAAAAATATTTAAATTAGAATAGAGATCCTATTTATATAAAATAATAGTTTGATAGACTAGTGATTGAATATCATCATCAGTAGTTAAAAAAATTAATCAACACACATATGATTAAGTTCAAGATAAAATAGTAATCAAGTCTTAATATAGTAAGTTTACAATATAGTTGAAAGCTCTAAATTAATGAATTAGACTAAATTGTAATATATCTAATTTAACTAAAGGTTTAAAATTATTCTTAATGATGAAAAATAATAGCTAATCCAATCTTAGGAAGATATGAAATATAAATTATTTGAGATTGAAAAAAAAGAATGATAAATTTTGTGTAGATAGTATAAGTATTATCAAAGTGAATAGATGCTTAAATATAATTATAGTCGATAAATACCGTATAGTTCCAAAAATAAGCACCCCTTTTTTACTATAGGAATGCTTATTTTTGGATATAACGTGATCAGTATAAAAACCTGTTTCAATTTATATAAAACCTATTTTTTATTTGTATAAACTTGTTTTTTTAATCAATACGATGTCGAATATTATCAAACGTAGTTGTAACTCTTATACTATTAAACAAAAAAAAGAAATAGTCGATTATGTGACAAAGTATAGTAGAAATGAAGCTGCACGTAACTTTATGCTTGATAGCAGTATAGTTGGACGATGGGTAACTGCAAGCTCAAGTTGGAATGATGAAATAAATCAAAATAGTAAATCATCTGGTTCAGGCTGAAAAGCTTTCTATGCAGAAGGTGAAAAAAGATTATATGAATGAATTATTGAACAAAGAAAGCAAGGATTAGCTATAACCTATACAATTATATAAATCAAAATGATAGAAATTTTAAATGATCTAGACATATCAGTAACTTCATTATTAGAATTTAAGGCATCAAATCGTTGAATTCATG